ACCATTTCGGACAAATGGCTGTCCAGTCTCTTCTTAAAAACTTCCAGTGGTGGAGCATTCACCGCTTCTGGAGGTAGGTTGTTCCACTGGTTAATTGTTCTAATTGTCAGGAAGTTTCTCCTTAGTTTTAGATTGCTTCTCTCCTTGATTAGTTTCCATCCATTGCTTTTTGTCCTGCCTTCAGGTGTCTTGGAGAATAGCTTGACAACCTCTTCTTTGTGGCAGCCCCTGAGATATTGGAACACTGCTATCATGTCCCCCCCCCCCTCATCCTTCTCTTCATTAAACTAGACATACCTAATTCCAGCAACCCTTCCTTGTATGTTTTAGCCTCCAGTCCCCTAATCATCTTTGTTGCTCTTCTCTGTACTCTTTTGTTTTAATTCCAAGTGCTAGCTAAGGTATGGTTTTAAGCAGAACAACAGAGTTAAGGAGCTACTTGACTCTTTTTTTTTCTTTTCTGTTTTCCAAATCAAGTCTCTTTTTTGTGAAAGGGAAGAATACAACTGGTCATGCTTTTTCTCCAGGGAAATTTGAGACGATCTGGACAAGAAAGTCAGTAAAAAGCATCAATTTAAAGATAAATTAAGAAAGGGGGGGGGACTACTGTATGAGGTGGAAAGAAGACAGCTAGATATGAGAGATTTTGGGGAAGCGAAAGATGAGACATTTGAATTTATATTTCAACAAAGACATCTTAATCCAGCTGCTGAAAGCTATGGAAAAAGACATTTCCAGGAGATTTAGGGTTCAGGAATTTCTTATAATTTCTAAGACTCTGTTTTTACCTCAGATTGATAGTAAATCTAGATACCTTCCTGAAATCCATATTGTCCTTGCTTCCTTGTTTGTGTTAACAACATGGGGGCCTAATATTAAGAGCTGATTTAAAAATAATAGTAATAATCAAAATACTAGTCCCTAAGTTGAACTTATGAAAATTTGACAATTTGTAATTACAACATTTTCAGCTGTAATTGATCAGTTCTATTAGAACTAACTTGGTGGCAAAATTTTAAGTACTGGATGCCATCGTGGGATTTTAAGCAATGCCATGAGTTTAAAAAAATCCTATTTATTCATAGCAATAGAGAAGATCCTGTAGTTTCAAAAATGGTCTGGAACAGGTATTTCAGGCCTCCTGAAATTACAGCCTCTCTTTGCTATTCTACAGAATAGCTTGATTTTTTCAGGATTGTTTATGAATCTGAGGAAATGAGTTGCATTAACGTTAAAGAATGGAATCATTAAAGCAGGGTTTAGGATTCTAATGGGAAGGCTGAAAATAGTAAACTAGCAAAGAATGTTAACACAAGGTCTGCAGTGCTACTTCTGAATGCTCTAACCATTGTGACAATAAAATCACAAAGGATGCATCATGATGTCACAGTAACCTTTTGCAACCCAACATTGCAAGCAAGAATATAAGGGGCAGAGTTTGCAATTCAAAGTCACATTACCCATTTTGTCACTTGCTTGTTGGATGCCTGTTTTATTTTGGAAGCCTGAACGGCTATATAATCCTAGCCAGCAGACAACAGAAAAAACAAACATACTGTTGTGCCATGCCACTGACTATTTTTAAAAATTATTTTATTTTATGTTTTATATTTCAAATGCAGGAACAGATTCCATAGTATCCACTCTCCATGTCTTCCTGTTAGATCAAGCCATTGTCTTTTTAAAACATAGCTTTTGATCCCCACATCTTTCAGAAGAAATTGTATCTTTAAATTAGAAATTCTTTCTTTATCTTTTGAGCTGGTTCCTCTCAAAATCTCTCTGTGTCTTTGTGAGCACTTTCTCCCCCCCCCTTTTTTTCTTTTATTTGAAATTAAGGAAAGTCAGGCTAGGATCTGGCTCAACTTCTTTCTGCATCTTTTGATTTCATCACTGTTTCAACTTCCCTATTGTGTCTGGCTATTTAAGTAGCTATTTGAATAGAGAATTAGATTTGTTCTGAGGCTGGCTCAGAACTGTATTACACTCTCTCCTAACCACTCCAAGAATTTGTAGAGAATGGAACATTATATTATTAGGGTATCTGCATCCTTTTGGTATTCTTTTCCCTTTCCTCAGTTAATGATTCTGCCAAATTCTGCTAAACAGCCTTGAAAGAGTCTCCAAAATGCTGCAGTTTCTCAATATCCTTTTTGGGGAAATTGTCCCAAATTTACCCCAGTTTTCTGAGTCCTCAGAAGTTCTCCAATTTGTTGGACACATGACTTTACACAAGAAGTTTTAATTGAATTATTTAAACAATGGCAGGGAATCTCTGGAGTGGGATGGTCTTAGTGGTGGATGTTGTTGTAACAGGAAGATATAGTGACAGAGAAAGCTTGCTTTCTACGACCAATTAGATGCCATTGCTTAATAGATGGGATATGAAATGTACCCACTGTGCTGGATCTTAGGGGATGAACATAATAATGGGGGAAAGGTGATCCCTCAGATAAATGGATTACAGTATTTGTAGTAGGTGGCAACAAACAGCTTGAATTACATCTGAAAATTCAATGCAGCTCGCATGGCAGAAGTGTTATATGGGCATACCAAAGCACACTCACAACTACTCATACATCTACATTTGGACCAGCTGTAGCTTTCAAATGGTCTTTAAGAACAGACTGCTTTGTTCTTTGTACGAAAAACCACATTGCAATATTTTACATGTGGGGTGACTGTGGGTGTATAACTCTGAAAAGAGACTTCTAGCCCAGAAAATGAGGCAATTGGTGCATCAGACAAATCTGTGCAAAAACCTTTCTGTCTGCCATAACTGCCACCAACACTTCAAGTAGCAGTAGTGAGTCTAGGAGGATTTATGAATTTCATGCCAGTTTTGTCTGGAAAAAAATTAATTCTATTCAGAAATAAAAACAGGAAATATCTGGCACCAGAAGAACTGTATACCCTTAGCTTCTTGATTTTCTAAGAATTGAGATGAAACTTATTGCTTTCTATAAAGATCTCAGACCTGAGGATAAGACTTCATTAGCATCATTTGGTTGATCAAGGGTTGAGATATGCAAATATCATCTGCATAGTAATGATACCTGATTATGTGTCACAGGAAGACCTGTCTCTGCAGATTCAGATAGATATCAAACAGGAAGGATGAGAATGTTGAACATCATGGTGCCCCATAAGTAAGAGGCAGGGAGAAAGAAAGAGAAAAACCACAACACTATGTCTTTGATCTCAATCTCTTTGTAGTTGATCCAGAAGGATAATATAATCAATAGTATCAAAAGCTGTTGAGAAATCAAAGACCATCAGTTGGACCACCCTGTCCAAGTTCTGCCACAACTCCAGCTCTGCCATAAGTCACGTGCAATAAATTCATCTCCATGCTATGACTTGACTTGAAATCTGGCTGAAATGGGCCCAAATAATGTGCTTTTTCCAAGGTGTGCGTGTGTGCATGTGTATTTATATATATATAAAATTTGAAGAAGGTAGTGATAACTGTGTTAATTCACAAGGAGGCTTCAAATTACAACCAAAGGAGAGGATCATTAAAGAACCTAAGCAGAACTGACAATGAGAAATTTAGAAGATGAGCAACCATACCTCCAAACCTCTTTTCAGTTGTTCTTGCTCCTGCAGAAAGGGATTTGTTTCCCCAAAAAGGTCAGGAGAATCATCTCTGGCATACCGTGTCTCCCACTGAAGCCTTATCCATAGAGTCCTTGGAGACCAACTGCAACAATGAGACCAGATAGCAAGCCTAGAATTGACTCCTGACTATCTAAATCCAGAGGCCAACAGCAATTGTGGGTCAAAACCCAAAGAGGGCTGAAGGACACAAATGTTCAGGGCTGAGGGAAAGTGATTGATTCACAAATCATATGACTCCAGAGTAGACCATCAGTTTTAATTGAATCAATGCAGTCCATCTGATTTATAGGAATGAGTTTGAAGCCTATGATATTAAACTGGTTTGTGGAACTGACCCAGTACTTAAAAAATTGTCTTGACTTTGTATGTTCTGATTATCAACTGTCAGAAAACTTGCCTCATTCCCTATGACTATTTATACCTAGACCTGGTTTGTATTTGGACCTTATTTTCTTCTAAACTTCTTGTATGAGGAACTCATCTGCTGACTTTAGGATGTTGATAGGCTTTATTTCCATTATACTGCAAGCCAATTCTCTTTGGTATAAAGGAAACCTGATAACTCTTGGAAAAAAAGGTCAACATTGCTATCATGATAGGAAACTTCCTGATTTACCCCAAGAAAAACAAATTTTAAAATGTTTTCTGGAATAGATAACCAGGGCTCCTTATAGAAATCCATGGAAACTTCCAATTTATTGAAGTATATCAAAAAGAAGAAGAAATAGTTTTCTGTTCTTTCTAAAGGTAAAAGTCCAGTTGTGTCTGACTCTAGGGGTTGGTGCCCATTTCCATTTCTTAGCCAAGGGAGCCAATATTGTCTGAAGACGATTCCGTGGTCATGACTATACACTGAGGTGCACAGAACACCTATCTTCCCATATGAAGTGGTACATATTTATCTACTTGCATTTGCATGCTTTCGAACTGCTAGGTGGACAGAAGCTGACGCAAGTAATGGAAGTTCACTTTGTTGCATAGTGCTGACGTCTTTTTTGCTCTTTCTAATTCAAATCTTAAATATTGTATAAAATTATAAAAAAACCTTCTATGGATTTCCAAAGAAATTTAGCAAAAGAAAACACTAAATGTTGAAGTGAATGAATAATTTGCCGACCCCTGACCTCTAATTAATAGGACTCTCTAATTAATAGGACTCTCTCAGCCCAGTCTCTATTTTCTAACTATAGCATCACTGTGAAGAAAAAAAATATGCATAATAAATATTGTCATGGGGTTTTCTGTTGGCTCAGATTAAACTGGAACTAGTTTCAAATTCTGATTCACTGAAGTAAACTGAGACAGGAAAAGGACTATAATTTCAGTGAAATAAACAAGATCTGAACCGGGGAAAACCAACTCTTCAGACAGATCACACATTTCATGGTGACGTATCGGTATTTCTATACGTATGTGGAACAGAGTAATTTTAACAAAAACAGTGATCTTTTCTACTACTGAGAATCTGAAAAAAGAGAGAAGCACTGTCTTTTCTCCAGGATAAAATTTTGTTTCCTGACAATACAAAAAATTAATTTCAGCATCTAGGTTCGTGAATATGAAAATAGGCATTGTGACTTTCTGTCTTTTATGTTGCTGCTTTGAAGCTTTGCATGGTAAGTGATACGGCAGATTCTGTTGACAGTAATTTCCTTTGGTTGTGATTTTATTGAGTTTAAAGACTGTATAAGAAATATTTAGATGCAATGATCCTGAAGGAATAGTAAAGAATAGACATTTATCCTGTGAAAAACTGAATCACTCTCTAGCTATAGGGCCAAACTTAAAATTTATCTGTTGATATTTCTTGTGCTGTTATTTAGTTTACCAGTGTATAGTATAGTAATGTCTTTAACAGAGATATAACAATCATTTTAACTTTATTATAGATATTATATTATAAACAACCCCAGAACATGATTGGCAACTTTGTCAGATGTATTTTAACAAGAGACAAACTTTTCTCAGTTGGAATTCCTTGTTTATGAAAGGCCTATGTGCACTACAAGATTTCTAGTATATTGTTTGGTTGGTTTTTAAGCTATTCACTGTTCTGCTTCCAACCTTGTGCTTATATCATATAATGTTAGCTTGCATTACTTTATATCTATTTTTGACCCACTGATCATTCTGAAGTATTCTAGTTATGTGTGTGGAGGACCATCACCAGATCATTTTACATAGAATTCAAAATCTCATTGAATATGCTCTCTTGGAATGCTGGGAGTTGCAGTTCACACAGAATGGGACAGTGACCCCTGTGGGCTGGCTAAAGAAGTGGCCTTAGGATTGTGATAGTTCTGTTAGTTAGTTTAGGTTCATTTCTGTAAAATCTTGGAAATTAATAATAAGCCAAATCTTTATTTATTATATTATTTCTATACTACTATTAGCATTTTAGATTTTTTAAATTATATTTTAAACTATTCAGTCTTGGAAATTGCTGAATAGAGTGAGTCATTCCATGTATACAATATCATTATGTCCAAACCCCTATGAAAAGTCAAGTCTCATTTCACTATGGCAGGCACCATAATTCATATCTATAAGTAGCAATAATTATAAAAATACATAATGATTTGGAACCAATGCTTAAGGTTTTGCAAGACCTATCAATGATTTCTTTGGGAAAAACAAAATATAAAAGAGGCCATTGATCCTTCATTTATGCTTTAGCATTATAATTATGACTCCAATAGATCCAATATTTTGCTTTTAATCAAATCTGTTAAAAGATAAGGTAACACAGCTGAGATAGATAAGGGGAAAAATAGCATGAAAAAGTTAAGACTCATGTACCAGCTGAGTAGGGAGCTAGAATATCCGGTTTCAGCAATTATTGATTTCTAATCTTGCTGTAGTCAAGCTATTCTCATTTGAAACAGAGTTGTAGCCTGCTGCTTTCTCCATGTTACCCTCCAACTTCCTTGCATTCCTAAACTTTGAGAGGAAAATTGAGATAACTCCATTCACTTCCATGCCTCTTTCATTTGGCCTTGTTACTTTCACCAAGATTTTCTCCGTAGCAGAAGTCTGTAGTACACGCTGGGTATAACTCCAGGTACACAGGATTCTCAATGAGAAAGGAGCGAGGCAATTCCTGATGTTATTGAAATGGCTAGCTTATATTATTTTGTAAAAGTAAAAAGTTGGAAGTCAATGCCTTTTTTTCTTTTTTTTTCTCCCTCACCTCACTTCTCTACTCCCTTTTCCCTTCCCCATCTTTTCAGCTATTTACTTTTGTATTTTCATTGCATTGTATATTATAAACTAATAAAACTTTAACAACAAAAATTTGTAAACTCCGAAGCAATGTGAAGTAACAGTTCTTAGTCTAGCTATTCTCAACATGGTTTGTTGTGATAACCCTAAATTACTTGAGTTAACTAAGTATTCTAAAAGGGGGATTTTTAAAACATTACCACGTATACTTTACATAATAAAAGACTATTATTCTTCCTAAAAAAAGAGAGATAGAAAAGAGCTGGGAAATTGTAGGACGCAATTTATACAAGCAGAATATACTGGAGGTAAACAGAGACATTTTTTAAAATTATCCTACTGTACCAGCAACATGCCTTCCATGCACCTGTGCTCTTAGGGCAGCATTCCTAACCACAACAATGCCACAATGATAATATCATGACACATAACCCACTCTTTTGTACTTGCATTGCAGCATCTTGCAACGTTACATGCCTTTTCTTGGCTTCTCTGCACAATGTGTTTTAATTCTAGTTCTGACCTTAATGTACACATCCTTGGCTGCAGTCAAAACTTCGCAAATATTATTTACATTCACAACATTAACAGAATTGATAACATAAATAATGTTCAAAGAATTCATGATATGCAAAGTTATAGGGGGGTACTTTGCAATGACTGATAATTTATTTAAACTACTATGCTCCTAATTTTTACTATGCAATTCAAATGTTTATGTACATTGGTTTTTTAATCTTAAAAATGATCAAGTGCCATTGATTTACTATTTTTAGGTGTTAACCAGTGTTCATCCATTTCATCCTGCACTACCTCTTGCACAGGTATGATTTATTATATTTTAATGACGTTAATTAAGGACATCATATCCAAATAAGCGTGACAAGGATGAATTAACAACTGAGATCTGCAATTATGCACATATATAAATGCCATATGAGTCAATATGATTTCATCTCTATGTCCAAGGGACTAAAGCATCAAACTTTGATCCAGTATATGGTTAACTGCTATTGAGTTGTGATTAATGTTTCAGGTCTGTTAATAAATGAACATCATAAAAATATTTCTTCTGGTGTTTTGAGATTTCATTTGTCTTTTTCACCAGGCCCTGGGTGAAGTTGATTTGTGATATGCTGTTGATATTGATTTTGATTAATCTATGTTTTGAGGTTGTGTAACATCTGTGTTGTCTCCCTGAGATGGGTGGGAGGTTTTTTAGTTTCTCTAAAATTATTATTTTGCTGCTGTTTAATTTTGGATTTACTATATTGTTCTATGGTAATGTTTCAGTAATTGAGGCAATGTGTTCATTATTTTTAAAAGAAATATAATGAAAAATTATTAGTGATACTGATTTGAAACTGCATCATTCAGTAACAAATTGTTTACTTGGTATTGTAATGAGCCCTGTCCATATAATGCTTTTTTCTGCTATTGCTTAAATATTGTGATGTCAGGATTAGTAAGGCTACCTTGGACAAATTAGCTCTGGAAGACTAATTGCTAATTCTGGAATTCTAAAGAAAACATATCAACTTATTTTTTAAGAAAATCAAAAGCACAAGAACTATTAGCAAACTAGGGTAATCATCTGACAATCAGTTTGGCCATTTTGGAGGCATAGAAAAATATTTGCAAAACAAGAATCCTGTATTGGATTGCACAAAACATAAATTGTCTTATATTTTTCCTCTACATATTTCTTTGTTAACAAAGCAGACAACTGCTCACTTCCCATGGCAACGTTTACTTGTTGCTTGTTAACTGTTTCCTTTTTTCTACAGAGAATATCATGAACCACCCTCAGCAAACAGATGAATTTCCAAGAGAAAATTTTACTTTGAATTGTCCTTTGCCCAGCAACGTGAAAGGTTTCTATATGAGGCTGTATAAGGGTTCAAGCAACCAAGAACTTTGTTCTGTTTATGTAGACAATGGAAAAAACAGTTCTGAAAGAACAAATGAATCCTGTGAACCAATCCATTCAAATGAAAAAATATTATTCACCCTCAGAAATTTAAGCAGCAAGAATAGTGATACTTATATCTGTTGCCTAGAAGTTCTTACTCCAGTCTATCGGTGTTGCAAAGCAAATGAAAAACATCTTTACGTCCAAGGTAAGTTGTCGGGGTTTTTTTTGAGAACAATTAAATAAATCTAGCAAAGTATGATTTAGCAATTCCTTTTGTCAAATCATTCTTACTTATCAGACTGTTGCACCTTATTTCAGAGAAAACATTTTTCTTCTTTGATCTCCTTTGAAAGAACACCGAATTCTGGGAAAATGCCAGCAGCTCTTTTCAACTGGCAATAACAGTCTGTTTAAAAAGAGGCACGTAATATAAACGTGTAAAAGAATAATACTTGGGACATTGACTTTTAGGAGAAGTCCAAGTTCCACAAATCCCGTTAGGTCCATGTATCGAGAGCCATTGCTTCATCATTATTCCATACATGTCCTCACTTCCACCCAAATAAAATTGAAGGCAGTTTTTAGTGTCCCAGGACTTGCTAGAGATTGAACAGTAGTAAGATGGAAAACATAGCTGGAGCAAAGTGATCAAGGACATCCTTGATGTCTTTTCTCTCTCTCTCTCTAAGATCTTCTCAAATACGTATGCATTTGAGTAAATACGTATGATGGTCTGAGTATTTAAATATATACCCACAATTATAGACTCATAGATTCTCCCATCCACCAATATTTTGACATGCAATGTTTTTACACAGAAGCCATTTCCCACAGTCACTGTGGGAAGGCAATCAAGTGTGTGGTCCTCACAGGCCACTTTCTACTCCTGGATTAGCAGAATGGCTGGCTAGGTTTTCCTTGCAGCTGATAGATTCTGCTTCTATTCTAGTTATTGTCTGATGGCCATATTTGAAACTGATTTTTAATTGAAAGATTTTAAATGTAATTTGAATTGCAGTTTTATTGCATTGTAATGGAACTACATTATTATCATTATTATAAGATTATAGCTACCAGATGGTTGAAAAGCAGAATATAAATGTAAGGTATAGAATGCCTTCTTTGAGGAGTGCCACATGCCACAAAGTATTTATAGAACATGTTCCTTATCTAAAAAAAACCTGCCTTATTGTTTAATTTTTCCCATTAAAAATAAAAAGCTTGTTTCTTAACTATACATATACATAATTATAAAGATATTCATCATATATAGAACAGTTCTACAAATGAAGCAGTATAGAACAAGATAGAAGAGCCATTTTATGTATTTATTTATCAAGTCCAGGAAAGGTCTATAAGATGTGCGTAGAGGGAAAATTTCTTGTAATTAAAATTTTTTCTAGGAAAGCCCACTATTGATAAAGTTCTCATTTTTGGATGAGAATAATGATTTCCATTGGAGATAGATTAGAAGACTTTCCTGAAACCATGGAACCCAAAAGAAAATGAAAGATTGCTGACAGAGCGTGTAAAGTTATAAAAACTGCATGTGAAGCTCTAGAGACACTTAACTAACTACTTTTTTTTTTTTTTTTAAATCAAGTTATGCACACCTAAATCTAGATTAAATGGCATCATGGTAATCATTTTGATCCAGGTATTGAACTGATCAGCTTAGCCAGTTAAGGGTAGCACAGCCTTGTTTTGGACAAGGAACAAAGTGAGCCAGGCAAGTCCCTCCTCAACCACAAATGATCCTTGGTGACTTGGAGCCAGTCACACTCTTGGCAAGGATTATTGAGATGACGCTTGTTAGAAGGGGATTCTATATATTCTTTCTGAGCTGCTCAACAAGAAGCAGGAAAGAAATCCAATAAGCAAACAAATACACTGCTGAAGATGGAAAAAATAGCAGACCAGTGATTCTTTTAGTAAGCTTCATTTCTGAGTCACATGAAAGAGGATGGTTGGCAGCTTGGCTAATTTCTCTTGGTTTCATCCCTTCCCTCTAACCGTGAATATAATCATATGTCAAGAAGTATTTATGGATGTAGCTGATCACCAGACAGTTCAAAAAGAAAATTGGTCAAGTTTTTGGGCTATACTATTCACAGTGGGGGCTGTTAGTTTTAAGTTTTAATAATAAGTACCGATTTGATTCTTTCCCAGATTCAGAAAAATCTTGCTGGCTATCGGAACTTATGTCATGGATACTTATTGGGCTCACAGTTTTTTTATTTGTTGCTTGCATCTTTTCTTCAATAATGTGTTTTAGAAGTGCGGTAAGTGATTTCCACAGCCTTCTTCAAGTCCAGTTTCTGCCAAAGATATAGTAATATAGTTTTCATTTTTGTGAGATTCAGAAGTATGCAGTGTCAGCATGTGGAATTGAAACCAAAGTGAATTTATTTGATGAATAAATTTAAGCCATTTATTTACTATTGGAATTCAGTCACAAGTGATAGCAGTTTACTTTTAATTTGCATAAGATGGAGTTGTGTATTGATTTAGTGGCTGAAGTTTTAGAACTAGGGTGAAGGAAGAGAGAATGCTGTGAACATCAGCAAAAATATCCAAGAAAGTAATTCCTCTGATTGCTGCCTGCAAAAGAATTGATAAATTATGGTGGGTCCAGCCAAGCTCTGAAGTCACTTGGAAAGCATCCAGCAGAAAGTGAACAGGGGTGATGATCCTTTTATTATTATTTTTTACCCTGAATTTGCCATTATTTCACTTTTGCATAGTTTTGATCATTCAAAAGAAAAGTAAAATAAAGAAAAGAGTTAAGATCATTCATCAAAATTATTAATCTGAAATCTACACCCTCTCCTTTTTGTTCCCAGATTTGCCAATGTGCCAACACTTATGATAACAACACTGAATACATGTCCATGGCGGCAGTAAAACCTAGATGAAAATGCAGCATCCAGAGGTAATACATAAAGTGGGTTCCATGAAGCAGTGGGGTCAGATTTGATCCTGGACTTCATTTCCTTTCAAGGGGTTGGTTTTCTCTCCTTGCTCATCTCTTCCTTCTGAACAGCCAGCTTTGATATCATCAGAAAAACTCCTAAAGCAAGAAACTACTTTGAATGATTGCAGAGGAGCAATGCAACACAACACCTTGATGCCATCAAGATTCTTCTCCACTTGTTAATTTTGCATTCCTCCGTAATGTCAGTTATAGATACTAAGACTACCTTGTCCACTGTTATTTATGTTATGAATCAAAGACTCAAGGATTAATGGAAATCTGGAATATTATATTGGGACAATCTTTTTTTAAAAATTAAAATAATTTTATAACATTCAGAGTTTGGGTTTTCTGTATGAATTTCTGGATAAGACAGGGAGCATAAGATGTAAGAAACTTCCACCCTTTTCCAGTGTTGAGTTTTGGCCTCAGACTTAGTTGTTTATCTTAGCTATTCTTTATAGAGTAAACACCTAGAATATATTTTTCAGTCATGAGTGACTGTAACTTCATTAAAATTGAGACATTAAGCTTTTAGTCAGATTTTCTTTGATTTTGCTTTAACCAGCAACTAAGAGAATCTACTTCAATGAAGTACAAATAGAATGGCTGAAATAGTTATTCAGTGCAGACATGAATGAAAAAATTCATTTGTTACCTACACTATTGCAAATAATGAATATGATTTCCCCCTTTCAGCCTGTTAACTAGCAGTAGATTAACTGATCTTTCACTATGCAGCTTCATGAAAACTAGTATGGTGATATAGTTGTAGTAAGATAACTTGTGTTCAATAAACAAAGTTTTGGGCCAAATGTGAGGATGAAATTTGGCAAATTAGGCAAATTTCTAATTTTTTGTATTGAGGAGAAAAAAATGCCAGACAAAACATGGGTAATGATCATAGCAATGTTTTATATTAAAACATATGACAGAACAGCTGTTTGTTTATCTGATATTATAAGTTATATATTACCTTGCTATAACCTGTATTGAAAGTTTCAAATTCATTTCTAATAGTATGATATACTGTATAAACTAATAAATGCTATTGAGAGTCAGTGTGATCTATGTGTTGAAGGTACTAGATTAAAAACTGAGAGACCATGAGTTCTAGACCCGCCTTAGGCACAAAGCCTGCTGAGTGACCTTGGGCCAGTCACTTTCTCTGAGCGCTAAGAAGGAGGCAACGACAAACTACTTCTGAAATCTTGCCAAGAAAATTGTAGGGACTTTTCCAGGCAGTTGTCAGAAGTTCAGACTGACTCAAAGGCAGATGATAGATAGATAAATAGATAGATAGATAGATAGATAGATAGATAGATAGATAGATAGATAGACAGACAGACAGACAGATAGATAGATAATATTGAATCATAGATTTAAAAAGCAGAGATGCAGTTCTTCAACCAGTTGTGAAAAAACTTGGTTTAAAGGAATGGTGATCAAGATTTTACTTCTGTATATAGATTTCCTGGCTGATTCTACCCTGCTGCACTTTTTCAAGGTGGAGAGACTATATTAGTAGGACAATTAGCAGGAGAAGCAAAATACACTAAAAAGATTGTGGGTTTTAAAAATAAACTAACTGCATTGCGTTTCAATTCCTTCAGAATTTTTTCTAAGCACTATATTTGACAGTGATCATGTGTGATCAAATTTTTTATCAATACCGTATATGCCGGCGTATAAGGCAACTTCTGCAAGCGCTAAAATCGGGGCCAAAGACAGGGGTCTTCTTATACGCCGAGTCATACGCCGGAAATACTGGTAGTTTCCGGCGTATAAGATGATGTTCTAGGAATGCGGCTCGGCGACAAAGACGGGGGTCGTCTTATACGCCGGGTCGCCTTGTATGCTGGCATATACGGTGCATTCCCTGTACTGTTGAATCCCTTTTTTCTTATCTAAATAAAGAAAAAATAATAATAATTTACTGCCCACTAATCCTTTCCCTGCTGAGAAGTGAAGGAATTCATCCTTGGCTGCCCCAGAGACTCTGTGTCCTCCTGTTTCCTTATTCCAGGGGTTCCCAACTGGGGGTGCTTGAAGGGGGTGCAAAAACTTGGTTTTTCAAACTTATAGTATATATGCATAATTCATTGCTGTTACTTCGAACTTTTGTAAGGGGTGCGAGAATATATCAGAAGTGTTCTAGGGGTGCGGGGTGTAGAAAAGGTTGGGAACCACTGCTTTATTCCCACTGTTCTGCCTTACCCATCGTCCTCTGGGGGATTTAAAGGAATGTGTCTCAATTGCAGGTAATGGTTGCTTCTCTGAATGATCCTCCCAGGAAGTTAACACATTTCAGATTTGAAATACATTTTACCTGGTGATAGATTGGAGCTGAAGAAAAATGAAACAAAAGGGGGAGGGGCAGATAATATGTTAAGAGAAAACAATGACAGAAAAACAAGCTGAAGATTGTCATATGAATCAAGATGGAGAGATCACAGCACCAAAATAGTGTGAGCTTTATCAAGCCTTAAAATGACATGAGTGAGGTATGAAAATACAGTAACTATAAGCTCATAGCTGAATTTTCTTCAGATAGATTAGCTGACTTTCTAAAAAAACAAAGAGGGACATACACATGTATCCTGGAAAAGGAAAGTCCATAGAAATTGAAGCCAGTAGCAAAGAAATCCTGTCTTTTACTGATTTGCTTACAGAGAAAAAAAAAATTAAATTGATGCTGGTGTAGATGAATTTTTAGATAATCTGATCCCAAAGCATTTGTCTGTATGTTAAACAGCAAAATAATTCTTAGATTTCCTTTCTGCTTGTGCCATCTAGATTCTAGTTCATAGCTCTCCCACTTTCAATCAAAGATCACTTTTCTCTTCTATGATTACAATTTCAGTCCCCATAGGCAATGGTGGGATTCAGCCAGTTCGCACCACTTCGGCAGAACCGGTAGCTAATTTTTTGTTGCCTAGGAATGGAGTTCTGGAAGCAGCATCTACACAGGGAACGGGTTGTTCACATATTTGAATCCCACCACTGCCTATAGGCATAGGAAAGATCAGTCAATTTTCAAATACATAACCTAGGTCAGCACTTTATTTATATTTAAAGAGTTAATGTGGATGTTGTATGGGGGAGTGATAAAGTTTCATCTTAATTAGTATCTCCATAGTATTTAGCTCTTCAGCAAGTAAGTTCTCATTTGGCTAAAGTTCAACTTTTAATAATAGATAAATCATTCTAACAATGATTTGCACCAAACATTAATCCAACTGGCACTTCTTAATACACATACACATGCACATGCAGGCACACACACACACATGCACACGCACACGGATACACTTTTGACAGCCATAAAATATTGAAAAAGATTCATTATGTAAATCCAGCTTCAGTTTTATAGTGGCTTTTTTTAAAAAGCAAAACATGCAGCGCTTTTAATCTCAGATTTTTAATCAGACTGTCTCTTTGGACTATGATCTACATGATTTCACTTTATAATCATTCAAGAGACAATTTTCTCCCATTTAGCCCTTAAGATTAACTGCTGGTATTCTTTTCTTATATATCTCAGTTTCAGGTGTTCAGTCACATTATGTACAATTTTCAATAATTATTTCTAATAATTTTGTGTGATACCACCTCATCATGGAGAACGATAGCACATATGATTTTCTTTCTCTCTCTTTTACGTAACTCTAATCTCATTATTTTAGTTGGGAGGGGAGAATTGCTTTTCAAATAATGTTTAAGTCACAGTGTGATGGAAATACATAATCATGGATGGGTTGTTTAATATTGGTTTTTCTTCTTGGAAAATGCTACCACAGGGTGACATTTCCCAGCAATGCTTCGTTATTTAACATCACCTACAGGACTAATGAACATTAGTCACTCCGTTTGTGGTGCTCACTGAAAGTTTCACTTATTTTCCTCAGACATCTGTATAATCTTGGGTAGTTACAATAAGTAACAAATTCTACCTTTTATACTTTGGTTCAACTCATCCTGAGATGGTTTCTGCAAAATCACAGTTTCTGAATGCAATGGAGCAGTTCAGCAAATTTAAAAACAAAGAAAAACTCAGTTAAGTTTTTAGCAGCCCTCTGAAAATCTAGAAATAAATTTCTCCACAGAGTTGGCATAGCAGAGGGGCTATGAACCAAAAAATTACAGCCAAATTCTCCTTCCCCCATTCACAAAATTCTTCATCTTCTCTGGCTAGTTAGAGAATCCTGTAGAACAATTCCAAAGCTTCCATTGAAGAAAAGGGAAGCCTCCACCATGCAAGTGGAAAATTGCATAGATCTGAACTATAAGTTAGAATATTCAAGATCCCTCTTGCCAAGAACCAAACCACCTTCTTTCAGCCTCAGTCTCCTCCTATGCTAGATGAGCGATAATACTAACTGGAACTACTGGGCTTTTGGAAGGACTACATGGATTTGATGCTATGAAGTGCTCTGAACCTTCGAAACCACAAATTCATGATTATGACAATTATGAAGACCATTGTTGCAGCACAAAATTTTCCTTTAGGATAAAATGAAAGTAGAACTGATTTGATTCAATGAAAGGAGCGACAGAAATTCTGGTGCAGAAAAACTTACAATAGAATACAATTCTGGTTATGATCACCTGCAGAAGACTTTCCAGCCCCTCCCTTCCCTTCCCCTCTTCTGTTCTGCTCTCTCCAGCTTCAAGACTCTCTGTAAGGACCCACCCCACTTTGCATCTTAAGAAGACAGAACTCTTGGAATAATTCTTCCAACAGGAATCCTTTATTAAGAGAAAATGGTTGCAGGCATGCTAGACAGGACTTGGGGTTCAAGCTCTTCCATTCAAGGTTTTAAGGGGTTCCCCAGTAGTCCCACCCAATCAACCCCCCTTCCAGTGATAGTTTCAAGTATCACAATTCCACCCCCTTTCTTCTTTCTTCCGTCTGAATGGAGACTTCAGGTAACTACATGAAAGGCAAGTATCCTGCTTTGTTATGATAAGGTTCTCTAGTGCTAACGCTTTGATGTTACAATAAACACACATTCAGCATTCAGCTCTTTGAAGTGTACTGAAGGAAGTGAGGGCCATAAAGCCCCTTTGTTCTCCCCCTTCTCTCCCTCTTATGGCAGAATCCAAAGAAGGCAGAATTGGGAGTTTCTATATTTGATAATTAAAGATGAAATATGATTGGATTCTGACACTCTCCAGCTTCAAGACTATTTTAATGAACTTCCATGGGTGTGAAGGAAACGGTAGCCATTATGAACCAGCCTTCGGTTCCCTTCTTCTTGAAATGTCCCTTCCCCATCTAAAATTTTGTTGGAATATTCTGCTAAACTCTAACCCTAACAATTTGTAAATGTTTGAAAGTTATTTATTTGGATTTATAGTTTTAGCCATCTTAAAGATCCAAGGCAGAACCCAATCATCTCTATGATGACAAGATCAATCAGAATAAGCATTCCTTTGATTTATCGTTTCATAGCTCATTTCAGAATCCCAAAGTCCAAGTCAAATAGGTATATATTAGTACTTTGTTAAAATATATTTGGCTTGGATGGTGCATATATGTATGGGTATGTTTGGAAAATTGTTCCACGTTGAACAGGTAAACTAGTATCATTCTGGCTAAAATTGAGAAGAATGGTACATATGTGTTTCATGATGCCTTCAATGTTCTCTTAGTTTTCTGCCCTTCTCGGAATTGGTTATGACAAATGCCATCTTCAGATATGGTTGCATGAATATAAAAAAAAAGATGAAGATTATAAAAATATTATTTTCTGCCCTTTAGTGGTACATAATGGTACCTGTTAAATTTGCGGGTTAAAGGCATTGCAAGGAAACGAGTAGTGTGAACAGCAAGTCTTCTTTATTCATTCACCAACAAACAGCAACAGAAAAAATGGCACGCAGGCCTTTTATAGTGTCATTGCAAAGGCCAGCGTCAGCCAATGAATGCAAGGCTGTTTTCGCGCCTTGCGCGTGTGCGCAAGGCTGGAGACAGCCAGTCTGATCCCG